TGGATCCCACACTGGAATAGGAACCCCTCCCCTTGAGAGGGAAGCAGCAAAAGAAACATGATCTGATTATAATGCCCATTCCCCATCTCCTGTGCCTCTCAGGAGGGTGGCCCATAGAGCCTGTGAATGAGAGAGAAGTGGACGGAGGATATTTTTAAGATCTGTTTTATTTCTTATTACTCTACTCTGACTTGTTTGATTATTAATTAAACTAATTTCCAAAAGCTGAGTTTGTTTTACTCATGACAGTAACGAGTGAGTGATCTCTCCCTGTCCTTATCTGAACTGTCAAGATTTCATTATATTTTTTCTCCCCTGTTCAGCTGCGGAGGGGAATGATTGTGCACGTTTGATGGGCATGTGGCACACAGCCAGGGTCAACCCACCACACTCTTATTGATCTAAAACTAGAATAATGTGAATTACTTCAGTCCTTATGTAACTGAACAAAATCTACCCATATGCATTGAGCAGAATAACAAGACACATGAAATCATCCTCAGGAAATGATTATTAGTGTAATTTCTTTTTGTTTGTTTAAATAAAAGCTACTGACAGGATTGTATGTTCTGCAGTGTGGGTTTATTCAGCTTTTAGCAAGCCAGCTGCTTGGAGTCAAGAGCTCCTTCAGAGAGCCCGAAGGGAAGAAAAAAGCAGTAACCTCTCAGTGAACATGAGTTCCCTACAGCTAAAGTGTATATAAATTCTATTATCTGATATCTCTCTTTTTTTAAAATTTTAATTGAACATGGACATAAAACAAATGTGAATTTTTACATCTGGTATCTGGGAAATTTTTCTAAACTTCTAAGTTTCATATTAAGCTCATGATAGAAGAAGCAAGCACTGTCCTTTTTGATGATAATGCCACAGGAAACAAAACCAAGCTGAGAACCAATATAAATGCACTGTTGGAGTCTTGTTCAACATAATGTGTTATTTTCTTAACTCTGAGTGTTGAAGAGCATGGAAATAAAAGCTTTCAGCAGAACAGCCCATATGGTGAATTCACAATGTGTGATCAGGACAAAACAATTGCTATGACTAGTCCATGAGTGTACATTTCAGTGATTTTAATTAGAGATAAGAATATTTTCATACCCTCAGATGCATGTCATTATTTTTGTCTTGCTTTACCAAAATCTGCCCTACTATTTCTATCTAAGGGCAGCTACAGAATCACTCAATCACAGGAATGAAGAAGAGTGAACTAGTAAGGAGAGTAAAAAGCTGCATGCTTTGCATATTCTTTCATTAATGCTACCAGAGCTATTGCTCTTTTGATGAGAAACTCATGAAGTGATGCAATTACAGTCACAGACTTCTATTATATGAAATAATTCCTGCCAAAGTCAGAAAAAATTCCTTCAAGGTCTTTATCTGTGGTTTTCAAATACCTTTGAACTCATTATCTGCAGAGACGCTGCAAAACCACCCAGAGGTCTTGACCATTAATTGAGAAGGTTAGATGCTTGTTGGAGCCTGAGTTCTTCTTTTTAAGGAAATGAGGTAAGATACATGGTAGTTGCATTCCGTCCTAACCATACTGTGGAGGTTAAAAATGGATAAGGCAAGATTAATTTTGAAAATGGATAAGGCTGTGTTCAGAAGTGGCAAAAACACCTGCATTTTGGAAATGAGGTTTAGACAGAAAACAGAATCTGTGTTATAGATAATGTTGTTGAAGAAGCGTTGTTCAGTCCAGCCCATCAGGAATAGTAATGAGATATAGACTGCTGAGACAGACAGTTGCTACTTATTGCCAGCGATATATAGAGAGATTGTGTACCAAGTGAAATCCCGCAAGCCGTGTGTGTTGCTATATAAGTTCTGAGTCTGTAGAGTATGCAAAGTCAGGGGTTTCTGGCACTGCAAAATTCATCAAGCAGTCTGTGCAGAACTGCAGCCAGAGATGCTCAGAAGATCATCATTACCAGGAAGGCACTTTGTAGGAAATAAAACCAAAAAGACCCCAAACTCCAACAACGAAAAAACCCCAACTTGTAGTAGGACATAAACACTGTTTTCCTTGGTGTGCTACTGTACTGACCAGATTTTAAGTAATGTATGGTCTGTGACTTGTAATAAAGTTGTAGTCAGTTATAAATGTGCAGCAATTTTTCAGTGAGCTCTTGATCATTTGTCTCAGATAATGCATTTTTAAAGGTACTTAGTGTGGGCAGAAAGGATTGTAAATGAACACTTCACAATATAAATCTTTACTTACTATACAACAGCAATAGGAACTCAAGATGTCTGTACAAGATGGATACTAATAGCACGTTCCCAGTGCATATATTTAGCCCTGAAATAAAACTACATGAATTCACGTGTCTACTGATTGCTAAAGCTCTGTCTTCTATTTTCATGTTTCTTATTTTGTTATATTTCTTTTTTTTAATGTTTCTCCTCTGATGACTCTTGTTATCACAAATTCCATATGCATATGGTCTCATAATCTTTTTCTGGTTTTGAGAAAACTACAGTCTCCATCTCACACAAGAAATGAGTTTGCAAAGAAAGCAAACAAAATTAAGCAATACCTTTGTTCCTGCTGATTACTTTTTTATACATGGGTCCCCATACTATTTGTTTTGGAATGAGTGTGTTTCTGAAGGCCTGTAGAAAAACAGGGAAAAAATTCTTTGCAGGGAAGCCCATGAGTTTTTCCAGCTGAACTTCTTGCTTGTTATGTGTGTAACTTCAGAGCTAGATGAGGTTGCTCTGGGTCTCAAAGCTGTGCTTTGAGCAGCCTGAGGAATGAAGATTCCATAGAAATTTAGTTCCACAATCATTTTGTGAGATGATATCCCGCCTGGGCTAACATGCTTATAATTTCTGTGGGAATTGCATGTTGAAATTGTTTCTTAACAATCTACATGCTGTTGGGGCCTGCACCTGAAGGCATGGGGTTACTGAAGTTCTTGTTAATAGATCACTTGGGGAAAAATAGAGTGAAACAAGACTGACAAACCTATACTCTTATATATTTATATATATATATATTTTTTTTTTTTTATTTCAGAACAATTTGATTGAAATAGAAAGCAGGTAAGTAACTGTTTTATTTATTATATAGCAACATAGAAGTATAAAAATATTGCTTAGGAAAATACATAGCGGAGGAAAAAGATAGAGAAAGAAAGGATAAAAGAATGTGGAAAGGAAAATGTCACCACCCATGGAAGCAGTGATGAGACTCGAATGTGACAATTTTGATGCCCATTGTTTGAAGTGATGGGTGCAATCTTTACCTTTTGAGGACGGGGGAAACCTATGAAACACAAAGCTCAGTGGTTTGACCTACATTCAGGTTTAGGTGGGAATGCTCAGGTACCTCCCCTGAGCAGCTAAACGATTACACTGCCTTTTACAGCACTGTGGATTGTGCAGAGTTCTGTGGTGGGAGGCCCCAGAAATGATCCTAGGGGTGTTTCAGTGGTCTCTGGTGGTTTATAGCACTTTTCAATGACATGACTGCTGTTTTGCTCTGCTTCTCTCACTTTAGTTGAGTCAGCAATTCCTATCAGAGGGGAAATGGCATGACAGAAGCATCATATCACCTCTGAAGGATTTGCATCTTATTGATTATTTTCCTTATCTGGCCAGAAAACAGGTTGTTTAAGACATTAGTTGCAGGCTATCAAGTATACCATAATTTTGGGGCTCAATAATTTTGTATATAAAAAAATTAGTTCATCATGCTCATACTCTGACAGTGGTTGCTGACCCCCTTTGTTCCGTGTGGATCAGAAATTTTCACCACCACACAGCCAAGCCTCTCCTCCTCCCTTCAGTTTGGGGGTGCAAACCTGGCCTCAGCAAAGTAGCTGCTGCTTCTGCAAATAGCCAGTTGTTTGAGTCATTAGCCTTTGACATTTCAGCTTCTCATATACGGTACATAGTTGTGATTTTTAATCTGACATAACTATAGCTCACAGTTAAAAATTTTCACTCACCTGGATTGTATAAATTAGTTTCAATTTTAATTGCTTCATACTAGAAACAGCTTTTGAACACTGCAGAGTTTTAACCTTTGCAATTTTGCAAATTTACTTAATTTGCCTCTATTCATGCCTATTTACTCTTTGCTCAGTAATAATTGTGAAAACAAAGAGGGTAAAGATAGGAGTATTTTTTTTTTGCATTTCATGACAAATTGTATACAGTGTACTCTAATTATTCTTTCAGCATGCCACCTATTAAGGGTTCAACATTCTGGAAAAGTCATGATGCCCTCCCATTGCTCTTCCTCCAAAGACCTTTTTTATAATTTCTGCTAGAGCATAGAAGATCTGGAATGTTCTCCTGCTCATACTGCAGGAAAAATGTTGTCACTTACAGAATCAATAGTCTGGAAAAATATTTTGGGTGCCCTCTCTAGTTACTTTCTTCAGGAACTGGTCAAAGGAATCCCATGGTAGCAACAAATGGGTGCTCTGACTCACCATAACACACATACAAATTGCAGATATAGTAGTACAACCTGTCACCTGTGGGCTAGCTTTATAAAATACAGTGTGTCAATTTAGCTCTACAGCTATTACAAAGATATCACTTTAGCCTAATTTAAGAAACTGTTGATCACATCTTCCTCATCCCCAGAAAAAAAATCCGAGGTCCAATGCATTTTCCTGGGTCTTGGTACTCTTCTTAAATGATTTTGGAGAAATGGCTACATGACAGAGGTCACGTAGACATTCGCTTGTTAGCCGACCAAGAGCTGGGAAAGTACAGAACACAGCTAGTTTGAGTTTTTGCACCTGCAAGATAGCATGCCCTTAGGCCTAGCTGGGTATGATAGCAAGTAGACAGAGAGACGTGGGAAATAGAAAATGTAGGCCCAAAGGAATGAGGATAGGCTGATGGTATAGTTTAACCAATAGATCTCTTGGCTTACAGAATATTCATAAGCTTATTATTTCTGTATAAGTATCTGATGCTCTCTTCAAGAAACAAAGCTTGCTGATCTCATATTGAGCATTCGAGTCTTAGCTCACCCGACAGATGATGATAGGACAAGACTGAGCAGCTTGTTAATTTCTTCTCTGCATCATCCTTCCACAGCAGTCATTCTTGGTGTAACCTGTGAGGGGATGTACAAAACTGGTTACTTTTTCCAATCACAGGTATCTGATTGTCCACTACAGATTGAAGTAATCTCTTGCTTCACATTCCTTTTCACTTATGATAACTTTCATGACATTCTAAATCTAGTTTAAGTTATTGTTAAACTGGGTTAGAGATAAACAGTGTGTTTGTGGGTGAGGGATCAACTATTCATCATTTCCTCCCTTTCAATTTTAACTGGCCAGATGGCTTTACAAGACCCTCAAGACTACTTGAGTTACAATACCTCCCACTGCTTCTGTAAAGTGTTTGTAATTCAACATGTGTTGCAAAATAACTTTGGGTCTCTTCCTGTACAATCAATGACCTAGATACTAAGGAACCAGGCTCAAATGTGACTCGAGAAATCTAAAAAAAATTTTTACGTGGGCATTCAACCTAAATACTGATTCAGAATTAACCAAATTTCACACAGCCCTAACTTCATATTTTAAAATAATTGTTTGATATTCATTTTTACATTTCCCCTACAAATTATCAGCTGACAGTTTTTGTGGATTTTTCTCTTCATTCTTCAATCTGCTCTAGCTGATTCAGTGCCTGTTTTCAAAAATCTGCCAAACTTCAAAAAATGCTGATGTTCTTAATAAACCCTGCCTAGAAAATATTCCTTGTGCAAATATAAACCATAAAAGAAATACTAGGATCATTCTTACCTGTTTGACTCCATTCTGGAACTAATGTTGCCTTTTGTATTACAGCTTCCATTCTGTATAATAAAGCATAACATGTTAGTTTGTTGTTCTTTTGTTGGGGTTTTATTGTTTTTGTTTGCTTTTCGGTTTCATTTCTTAAAATCTGATCATAAATTAAACTTCATACATCATTCTTTCTGAGTGTCTGTTATTTAGAATAGGAAATCTCTCTTTCCTGCACTATTTTAATTTGAAGTTGATACTACAGTACGTGATCATGAAAATTATCCAAATAATGAAGAGCAATTTTTTTTAAATTAAATCTGAAGCTACATATTATGGTCTTAAATGCTTCTTTTAATGTATTCTTTTCAGTAATTAATTTGCATTAATAATTTAATCTCTCAAAATAAAATTTATTAATAATTTAAATACCAAAAATATATCTCTCGAATTTCTTGCTATAATTTCCTATATTTATGTAACATATAAATTGATGTATTATAGTTGTAAAAGGCTGTAAAAAGTTGTTCAACCTCTTAATATTTGGAGCAGGATTTGCTACAAGATAAAATTTCAGCAGTGGAGCAGTTTCATCCTTTAACATTTTCAGGAAGATGAAGCATATTTGCAGAAAGAGATTAGGGACAGCACAGGTAGAATCAGGCAACCAGAAATGACTGAGGAGTGTCAAGATGCCACAAGTAGAAGATACCAAAGGTAGTAAGACAGAGGTAAATTGTAGATGAACAGAAAATGAGAATGGGAGCATTTATCAAATCTCTAACCTCCTCAAGACTGCAGTTAAGAAATTAATATAAGGAAAAGTAAACATGGGACAAATAGCAGAATAACAGCAAACAAGTAAACATACTGCTCTTTCCTTGCAGCACTTGACCACAGAAATACATAAAAATACAGTAATACTTGTTATTTTTAAAGACAATAAAAGTCCTTCTGCAAAATAGCAGCTATATTTGGTGTTGATGAGATGGGTTCATAGAACATAGAATTACATAACTCTTTTATTCTCAGCATCTCCTGGATGAGAATACGAGATACTTTGAAGGAAAATAGAGAAACACTAAAAAACACAGCTTATCCTAGCAAATTTCTTTCTCATATTTCCATTGGTAATATAGTCTTGTTCTAGTATTGTCTTTTGTTCTCACAGTAGTAAATGTAGTTCATAATGAGGAATAGCAGGGAAAGGACAGTAGTTTTAAGAAACTACAAACACAGAGAACAGCTTTCCTTCCATCTCATTTTGTGAATAATGCAAATATCTGGTATAAATTTTTGTTTTCCAATACATTCTGTAGTACTGAAGTTTTGAACACCATCAGAACAAATTTGATTTAATTCCTTTCTCTTTAAGATTGCACACAAATTTTTTTTTTTTTTTTTTTTTTTATGCACCAGCAAAAAAGATCTACATTATACTTGATAAATCTGGGCAACCAATAGGTATATGTGTGCATACTAAATTGGTGATTTAGGTGTGGATTTATTTCTCCATACTTATTAAAATTTGTCTTTAACATTGCTGCTTCATATACATAGTTCTTGACAAATACAATTTGAAATTACAAGGAGTTTACAAGAATGAACAGTATATGAAGGCATAAATACCTTGTAAAGAATCCACTATGAAAGAACTTAAAAAATTAATAACTATGTGCTGCATATTTCAGGATACAAAAGAACTGAAACAAGAAAAGCAACAGCTGAACACAACACTGTTTTCTCTCAATAGCTTTTATTCTCGGTTTGTAAATGCTACAATGAAATACAAATATACCTTATATAAAATAAGATACAAGTCTCTCAAGATGGGCTTTATCCTGAGATTCTGATACTAGAATTAATTGTGTCTACAATATAGCTGTTTGTAACATTTTGTGAACTCTGCACTTTTGTTTTTGGATTATGAATTCAACTTCTATTTAATCTTACTTTTAAATGGGATTGGTCATGACCTTCAAAATGTCAATTGATGTTTGCACTGCAGTTTTAACAAAGGCCATTTGAGGACTAAGCTGAAGACATTTATCATTAGTCTAGGTGGTGATGAAAGTGAATTGCCCTGAGTACAAACACGCTTAAATCACTTAAAAATGGGAAAATATAAATGGAAAAGAAAAAGAAGTCTCTGACCAAGGAAATATTTTGATGTAGGAGTTGTCTGTATATGATCATACAGACATGATGGTCTTACAGATCATGGTCTTACATACAGATTCTGAGTCAGCATGCCTTTTCAGACACATATATTTATACTACCCTGCTACCTCACATCTACCCAGATTATTCTTATTTTAAGGACCATAGTTCAAGATAAAATATACATATTTTTAATGCATTTTACATATACACACATAAATACATAATGAGCTGGAAGCAATAGTCTTTGGAGCCACATTACATATCAGGATGATTTGCACAGAAAAACTGCAACAATTTATCAGATATGGAGTATCCTGGTATATATCAAGAAAATGTTGAAACACTTTGTTTCAGCTGAGATCCTCATTTGTGTTTGACAATTTTGTACAGGTCTAAGGCTGCATTAGTTAGCATAAATTAGCCTAAATTAGCATAACAACTTAAGTTACGTTAAGTAGTAATGCTATAAGGAAAACACATGAAATGGAAATAATGATAGGATAAGAACACTTAAGAGGTGCTGAATGTTCCACAGCTGACATTTAGATGTATTTAAACACAGAATGATCAAATTGGACTAGTTAGCACTAGTTTGACCTCAGATTATCAGAATGAAGAGCATTTTCTTGAAATATTTATATTCAGATACCTTCACATTAGTGATTTTATGATAACAATATGTCTGACATAGAACAGTGAGATTTGGTATTTGTGTTCAGAACACAAGGCTGATCAAATTGGTTTTGCAAATATTGTTTATATGTAATTTTACCAAGTTTTTTTTAGTGAATGTGCATATTAAACAAACTTGTAATAGTTTACTTTTTTTTTATGCTAGACATCTCACAAACTGATTTATTTTAGCATTCCAGTTCCTTGAAATAAATCCAGCTGTTATTGTTCAGAATTCTGACTTTTTGTCACCTCTGCATGACCAAATTCCTTCCTTTTCCTTTTACTGGTTTAATCTCTCCTAGCACTCAATTTTCTGTTGTCAGATTTGCTGTTGTTGTTACTCTCTGAGATTTAACAGGGAATTTGGCATCCCCAGTAGTGCATCTGATGCATCTTTTTTTCTAATAAAATCATCAGAATTTATATATTCCAATTCTTTTGCACATGGCTGATGAATTGACCCTTTGGTAGAATAACACTGTGTTTAACACTGCTGAGCAGACACCAAAAGGTAACATGGCCTACAAATTCAGTAACAGAAGGGCTTGAGTGGGAAGATGTAAGTAGAAATATTGTGAGTATTGTGTCTGAAATGAGCTGTAGACAAGATGTCTAATCAAGAGAGAAACTGGCTAAACTGTGAAAAAAGAGAAAGCAGACAACTAACCCAAATTCAGAGTTCTGACTACAAAAATGGTCTTTACACCCATACTCGCTTAAAACCCTTTACAGGTGCCATCTATCTACAGTCTTGTTCCTGTTCTGGAAAATCTAACTTATTTATGTCAGTTCTCATTAGTATCTCTATCAAATATCCTTTAAGTCACAGCTGACAATGGGAAAAAATGGGACTCAATTAGATATTTTTGTCTTGGCAGTGGGAGAGAAAGGGTAAAAATCCAAATTGCACCTGAACCTCTTTTAAGTTTAGACCTGCTGCATTTTAAAAATCATTTTTCCTCAGCAATTTAGAGAAAGTAGTGAATAACAAAAGGACGCAGTGAAGTTTTCATGACAATTTTGCTTTTGGAAGAGCCAGAGCAAGAAGATCTGAAGTTGACTTCTGGGAGCTGGTAAACTTGGTGAATTTGAATTTGTGTCATGCAACCTTGAGAGAGAATGTAATAAATGGATAATTGGAGTTGGGAGTGGGAATCTCTAAGAGTATATAATTCGCCTCCACTCTTTATACTTTTAGGTATGTCTGAATCAGAGGTATAAGTGGCCTTCAACACCAGTATTTTATTAACTTATGCAAGAGATATTGCAAAGGAGCAGAGCATCTTCAGAAGTGGCAGAACGTGTCTGTAGCAGTAATTTTGGTCACTATTCAAGTTGGCTGCTGATTTTGTGGCACTGAAAATTACCAAATAAATCTATTTGATGTTGAAAGGCAGAACTATTAGTCCTAACTCATGCTGGCAACAATAGAGTAGGGAAGCATAGGTGGGGAATTTAGGGGTGAAATTTAGGTTGCTAGGGTTCTGACCAGCAGGGAGTCCAAATCTATTGTCAACAAGGCATCTCTTGTGTGATACTGCTGGCTGCATATGCAAAACCTAAAGAAACTGCATGGGACAGATGTATTTCCCATTAACTAGAAGACAAACTAACCTGAATAAAAATATAATGTGGGGTTATTTTCAGTAAAAACAGAGGGAAAACCAACAGGCATGGAGGAGTACTTGACTTGATGTAGACAAAATCTTTTTACATGAAGATAGGAAGCATATATATAGAAAAGCAGCTCTGTTACTCCAGGTACAAACCCCTGGTTTTGTCCCTTGGGACTTTGGGCCAAAAACACAAGACCCCTCAGTGCAAGCTGTGGATGCTGTCCCTGAGCTTACAGGGGGGTGAGAGCCAGACTTAATAGAAGAATCGATTAAGGAATTGAAAAAAAATTATGGTGATTTTTATAACAGAGAAAGATCAACAGAAAGATCTCTCAGGATGCCTGGTGTAATAATTTTTTTTTTCACTACGTTCATTTTTAGCCTGGAAAAAGCTAAGAGCTGCATCTGTGAGTTTGTTTCTGTGTGATGGGAGAGCATTGAATGCAATTTTTATTTTATTAAGGCTTGTCATAACGTAATGTTAAAGTTTTCTGATGAAGTACAGATTTGATAAGTAGAGAGTGAGGGGGATTGAAAATTTATGTGACTCATCTTGGGTTAGGTGGGTTGGACTATATAGTCTCCAGAGGACTCCTGACTTCCACAATCCTGTTGAATAATGACTAAGATTCTGTCAAGATACTGTAAATTCTGTTTACATAATGACTAAGATTATGAAGATGTTATGGTGTTTTCTGTTGACACAAGGCAATACAGAGTGAGGTAACCTCAAGAAGAGATCTAGGCTACTCTGACATAAAAACGGAGGTGTGAGTGAGATGGGAATAGCAGGTTGTTAATAATTTCTCTATCTCCCCCATATACACATGGTCTGTAAATAAGACACTCATGACAGTAGAAGTGTTAGCACTAGGTCTTGGAAAATCAGATTATTCACTCCAGCTTGTTGATTTCTCCAGATACTGAGAGATGTGCAGCAGTTTCAATGTCATTTTGGCCCTTTGGCACGATGGCAGTTGTGCATGGAGGTGTGTGGGCTGTGTGAATGCATGGAGATTTTAATTATTCATTACTTCTCAAGTTTAATAGCTGGTGTGAGCTGCCAATGATGACTTTAAAAAAGTTAGATTTTGCTTAGATTTTATATTTTTTTTCTTAGTTTCTACTCAGGTGAGGTCTAAATCTGATCAAAGACTGGGACGCAGTTCACATGAGCTGCTACCTTAGGGAAGTATCTTCCTTTATTTCATTTCCAATGAGCTTGACAAGCACTTGTCTAATGGTCATGTCCTCATGTGTAATTCACACATTGCAAAAATACATCTGAGACAGTAACTTCAATAGAATTGCTTTGAATATATTTGAAGTTCAGTGTGATTAGGCTGGAAAATTACAGCATCATCAGTCTTGGGACTGCAGAATTACTGCTGTTAACATACTGATTCAAACTAGGACTGAAGAAGGTCATTTCCAACTTTGTGGAGCAGCACACACAGAACTAACACATTAGCAGAAACTGGAAAAAATGAAACAAAAAACCAAACAAAACCCTTCAGTCAAAGGATTATTTATTTATTTATTTATTTATTTCTATTTCTTTGACCAATCTAGGAATCTGGAAATGGATTATAGCCCTCCATTGTGACACAATTAGGCACATATTATACAGGACTTCTAGTTATTTGGGTTACTTCTGGTTTGTTACATGATGACGAAAATAGTGCAACATTTCCAATAATACATTTTTTCCCCCTAACAACCCAAACACCGTCTTTGACCATTTATGTTGAGCTTTTGTAACAGACATGTACTCAGAGGGACAGCCTGACTCTTCTAAAACTTCTAGAAAAATTAAAGAGCAAAGCAACAGGGTTCTTATCCTAATGCCACTGTCTCCGACATGAAAATGAGCATTCAGGTGATGATTGTAAGCTTATGATCATGGTCAAAGGAAAAAGAAAATACTAGCTATAATAAATCACAGACAGAATTACTTGATAATAAAAATAAACATTTTTGACTTAAAAATCAGTTCTGGATTTCTTACATATATTTCTTTTGTTTCACATGTGAAATTTCCAAAACATATGCTGAACGCAGAGGAGACATACAGCAAAATATCCTTTCATTACAAAAATTTAATTTTTTTGGATTGGATTTTTACTTGGTTATCAAACATAGATATCCTATGTGCTTTTCTCTCGTTTTAAGCCTGTCCTGATGAGAATTAGCTAAAGAAAGCATCTCAAATTGAGCTATGAAATTTACATGTTTGGAAGTGTGACTGCCAGAGACTTGGGAATGGTCAATGGAAGTTTCCTTAACACTTGAGAAAACTAAGGATTTATCTACCTTTATAAGATCAAGGGGGATTTTTTTCTTTTTTCTTTTTTTTTTTTTTTTTTTCAGCTAGCTACTAGAACATGATAGTGGTGAAAGGAAGACTTTTCTCCAAGGTCGAGAGCAGAAGGATGAGAGACAATGAACAAAAATCTAAAAAGCTTGGGAAATTCTGTCTGTTCAGAAAAACTCTCTCACCATAGAAGTGATAAGCGTTAGAGGAAGTTTCTAGAGAAAGCGTGGAATTTGTGTCATTGGAGATTGTTAAGAGTCAACTAGAAGGCCTTAATGGTATTAGAGAATATTAAGGAACGCTTTGGTGCTATTACAACAATTAAGTGATATTTAATGAGTATTGCATCAGTGTGGAAGCAGTCCATGAATAAACACATGGATAAAACTATAGAATTTTATTCTTTTTTGTCTTCTTTTTTTTTTTTTTTTCAGTCAGGTAATTATCTGGGGGTTATTGGTTTTACATGTTACAAACAGAAAAAATCCAGGCTTTTCCTTTACAACAACATCTTGTTTTAGTGCTTCATTAAATACCAGAACTCACACTTAGATTTTTCAAAAAAAGATTTCAGAAAGAGAAAGGAAGTTTTATAGCTAAAGTTCAGGTTTACTTACACTTAACTTGGCAGATTAATTACTTTAAAATCAAATTACTATGAATTTATACTAAAATATCAGAGACCAGAAAAGAAGGGGTAAAAACATTTTTAATGGTACATAAGATGATGAAAAGCATAGGAAAGTGAAACTGTTTTTTCCCATATGAAAGTTTCAGGTGGTCATGGTAACAAGAATATAAACCAAAAAACAAACAGAAGAATAAAATCTCTATGTAGCTAGGGAAGCTGAAACACATTCAGGATTTATTATCAAGCAAGTATGTAAAAATTAGTCCACACTTGCTGGAAAATCTGGAAAAGTATCATAGAATATTTAATTTCCTGTTATAAGAGCTCTTGTGTCTCACTCATGAGTAAACAACTGTCATCAGCATTTCTAGGACAGGAATGATTGTGAATATTTAAACTCAATAGCAATTGAACCTGACCTTAGTTTGCTCAATTAATGGTAGTGATAAGACATAACTTTTATGGGAGCAGTTACCTGCTATGCAACAGCACATCTCAATGTAATGCTAGGCGAAGTATGTTACCCCACTAACTCACTGTTCATACTCTGATTTGAAATGTGAGGTGCAATATATCTTTGAGAATATGGAAGAAGGAAAGAAATCTTTGCTATTTCTACCACAAATGAGAATTCTTTCTAAGTTTCATCAACTGTATCAATTAATTACTAATAAATTATAAGGATCAGACTATATTTTCATATCTAAATGCTTAAACATGTCCTGTGCAGCTCACAATGAGAACTGAAAAAAACCCCTGGTTTTGGTTGCACATTTGGTCACATCTGTTGGTCTCACTGTCTGACTATATGCAAAGAATAACAAGAAGTTGCTCACATTTTGAGTTATTTCATCAAGGAATTGAAGATTGTATGAATCCACAATAGAAAATGTGTTTTTAAAAGCAAAATATTTGGAAACTCTGAATTTAATCATGTGTGAAAATAAAAATGTACACTGTGTGGAATACCTGACACTGATGACAATCAGTCTATATTAACTATCCTCTGGGTAAAAATATGTTTCCAAACTCTAAGTAAATGCTAATTATTTCAATAACATGGCACATGGCACCCACAATCTCTAGCCTTCAGAAATATGTTAAATGGAGATATAAAGGCAGAAAGAGGGTTTACATTTGAAGAAACTGCACCTGTCTTATGTAAAACACATCATCTGTGATACTCCAGGATGTGTTCTAATTTCTGTCCAGCCTGAGTAGCACGCTGAAACAGATACATAAATGAATACACACACACTCACAGAGAAAGATGTTTCAGGAAAGATCTAGAAATGTTTTTCAAACCCATTCCCTGCCATTATGAGGTTACTCAGGTTAATATAACCTGTCAGAAAGAAGAGGTGTTACCATTAGGCTGTCATAGCCATGGAATCATCAAACTAGTATGTGGCTGGGGCTCTGCTCTGCAGTATTTCAGTCAGTGTGTTTGACATTTCTCAAAAAAGCATTCTTACTGAGAACTTTATTTCTCTCTAGGTGCTTAGCTAAAGCAGAGAACCCATCTGTTACAAGACTTTCAAAGTTTTTTTGAAGGGAGATTAATATTTAATTTATTAATGTGTACTTATTAATATTAATCTATCAATATTAATTTATCTTTTAAATAGGTTTTATTCTGCACAATTTACTGGCAGGTAATTATCGCATTAACTATCAGTTAGGATGTAGCTATAGCTAGACTTAGGAAGTTGGTTAGGCTTTTTCCTGTTTGGTAGATTTTAGAGGGTTTTTTGTGTGCATATGTGATTTTTTGTGTTTGATTGTGCCTTTTTTGTTTGTCTTTCTTTTTCTTTTCTGAATCTCTCAATGTAACTTAAGTCCATTTTGCAAGTTATTTACAAGAGACTTGAAAAACAATTTCTCCCCCTTACATTCACAGTAGCTTTTCATCTACTTGAATACTATTATGACTACTTCTCTGCTATAGAATAGGCAGATAGAATGCTCAAATATTCCTTTGTATTGTTTTAGTATACTATTGTCTTATTTTAGTATGCTATTATCTCACACTCTGAAAAAAATAATATTCCTATCCAGTAATTCAATATACTAGGTTCTGGAAATTCTGTTGCCTTCTTTTATTCCCCTAATTACTTGCTTACTTCTTCTATACATGCCACTTTAATTTCAGTTCTTCCTATTGCTGCCAATCTTTACAGCCAAAATTAGTAAAACAGAAATTAAGTGAATAAATAAAGAGGAGGGAAGACTGGTGCTTGGCAGTTCAATATTCAGTCTGGCAGAGCTCTTTCATTGCTTCTTTACTGTTTATTTTGGCTTATAAATTCTGCACTTCAAACAAAATCTACACATTACTTGACAGGATACAGTAGTGCAGCAGTCGTGGAGCTGTCTCAGATTTGTGTGACAGAAACAGTGTAAAGTTACTCATAGATTAGTAGACCTTGTTTTTTGTGGCATAACATAGCCCATACTTAGCACAAAACAGTTGCATCACTTCCTGTGAGATTCCTCTATGTGTAGGGAAACATTCAACTGTAGCAAAGGTGAAAAAGATCAATGCATTACATTTGAAGCTTCAAGAGGAACAGTACTCTTATTTCTCCGATTCATATCAAGAACTGGAAAAAAAATCCTGAAAAAAAAAAAAAAAGATTCTGAAGTTAAAATTTTTTCAAATATATTTTTAAGATAGTCATGCCAAATTCAATTACTTTACTGGTATTTATATATATTTCATAGACAATGTCAAGATGTAAAAGTCATTCTGCAGTTATGTTTTAGCATATGCAATTACATATGTCTAAAAACACTACTAAAAAGTATCTATAGGTAAAAACATGTATAAGATATACCAGTAAATGGATATGAAAGTTTGTGTTTTTATTGTATGTAGAAAAATATTAAATGGCCTGATATGTCTAGTTTGTGGTTTCCTCTGGATCTTAAAGACCATTCTATTTTCAAATAGGAGACACCATGAGTGATGGAAATGGAGTGCTGAGAGTAAATTAACACCATTTACTTCCTTTTCTATCAAATCATTATTTCAACCTGCCAACTTCCATTTTCTTTTAACTCTCAGGATAAATGCAATACATGGAATTCAATTGCAATAGTAACACAATTGTAATAGCAATGCAAGAGTAGCAGTAAATTTCTTTGCTCACAGGAAGCTGTGGTCAATGCATGGTACACTCACCATATGTATGTCCAAACTGTCCACTTTGTTGCTGGATATGAATTTATTTCGAAGTTAAAAAATTAGAAAATTTTTAATACATAATAAATTGACAATTAACAACTAGTCCCATCAATCCTGTGTCCAGGTTGCAAACAGCATCTTTTTCACAACCCTTCATTCATTCATTCATGTTATGACACTGCCACCTTTGATGGAATATTGGGTTCATGCGTCAAGTCCTGTGTGTTGGGGGCTGCAGGGGGAGCCCTGGGGAGAAGGAGGCAGGAACTGGTGCCAGCCTGCTTTGCAAAGGAGCCACAAGTGTGAGGAGGAGGAAGATGCAGACAAGGTCCTGTTATGGTCTGACCACAGGCACCCATTCTCTGCTGGAGGTGAGGGTTGGGGAGATGGAAGAGTCAGGAAGCAAGGAATGAAGAAAGAGGGTATTTTCAGTTTTTACTTTGATTATCACTATCCAACTCTACACTTAACTGGCAATAAATTAAGCTAATTTTCCCGGAGCTTTGTCTGTTTTGCCAGTGATGGTAAGTTTCAACTATGAATTATTGTGTACCAAAAGCTTTTGCATCTTATTTCCCACCACCACCTCCCTTGAAGAAGCGGACCAGAAAAGAAACTGGCTGGTCTGTCAGCCAGTCAAATTCAACTCACCACACTGTAATAGTTAATAATTTTTTAAAATTAAATCATTAAAATAAATTTAATATGTATGCTTTTATAAATATAATTATTATATTAAAATATTTTATTAGTCAATTTTGGAATTATAATTATATTAAATTAAATAATGCAGCATTGTTCTGGGAAAATCTTGCTGCATTTTCTTATCCCTTTCCATATTTACATTCTCCTCTAGCTTCTGGTTATTATTTATTTATAAAATCTTCATAATTTTCTGTCTGTATATGCTGCAGGCCTCTATGTTGGGGGAAAGAGGTGTCATTTATATTTTATAGCCTCTTTTCATTTGCTTCACAGGAAGTATAGATTTTTTGCTTGTATGTTTTCACTATTTATTTTTACATTAAAGTTTGCAATCCCAGATATTGATTACCTTGGAAATGTCTTAAATATTTACCAATTGTTGCGGTACATTTCTGCTCATACCTTTTTTGTCTAAACTTTTATAGTTTTGAAATTCACAAGATTCACTTTTGTAAAGCTGGCCTTTTCCTTTCGCCATAAAACTGAGATCTACCAGAGTGCTCTCCCATATTGAATAAAGGTCTTACAGAGGGAAACAAATTTTTCTCTGCAAATTGTAAATTTTGTAAGTATTTTATATTTGAAGTTTGAGCATCAGAGTATATCACAGATTTGAACACTGCAGGTTTTGTTTTCCAGATGGAAATCTGTAAGCTATTGCTTCATGCACTGACTAACCTCCTCTTAGTGTGTTTTGGGGACTTACTGTGATATATCTTGGTAATGGAGTCCAAACAATAAAACCTTCCTTGACAAAATACGGTCTCCTTTCCCTTGTCCCAGTTCAGTTTTAATTGCAAATGCTATGAATAACATTCCTGATTTTAATATTTCAGTCATGAGAGTGTTCTTAACGCAGAGATGTATTTACATACTAAAATGGTACTTCCATTTATTTTGATTTAATCCTTGATTTTGTACAGGCACTCAAATAATTGTTGAAACATAAGTTCAAAATCATAAAAGTGTCTCTCTTGTAATTTATGAGATAAAAAAATATTTTAGATCAAAATATTTTTTCTAATACTATCCATAATATAATTAAAAACTGAATTAGAGAATGGAAGGAATTTATTCATATGCTCAACCTAAAGCTTTCCTTTTAGCAATTCTTTTCACAATTCTAGGGATTGCTTGACAGCTGACTTCCAGAGTCAGCTACATCTTTCCTCAGTGGTCAAACAGGTGATGGGCATTTCCATGATTGTAACATTTTAGTGAGGGCAAACGGAGATGTTCTTCACCTAAAGAATATTCCACATCCATAACAAAGAACAGTAACAGAATCCTTCATGCCAAATGTGATCACAGGGTTCGACCTCTGCAATCTATACCTGTGTCTCCTGAATTCCCGAAGCAACTATTTTGTATGCCTCTGGCTGGTGCTCATATTAATGTGCTAGTTGAATATATGTGAACAACCATTTCAAGCTAATCAAGAAGGGCTATCAAAACTAGGCAATAACAGTTTTTAAAGAATGATGTTGACATGTGAGACATGAATGTTTTACTAACACAGATATTAGTTAAGTCTGATTAAATGGAAAAAAATCAGGGAAATACTGGGCAAATCCTCCAAAGATTATGGCAACATATATTTGTCATGATCTTTGACAAGAATTATTTCATGAAGATTCTCATGCCTGAAAATTATATTTCTCAGTTTAAACCATGCTTTCATGGTAGAATGAAGAGTAGTGGTATATGCTTCAGAGGAAGGTGAGCCAGACTTCCTTAGATAGCCATTGCACATGTTTACATATGGTCAAATGAATCCCACACAGCGTGACTAAACAGAGTTAATCAAGCTGACCAAAGAATTCAAGCTATACAGACGGAATACATGCTTTCTTTAACAGCTCTTATTTCAAATTGTATTGCATCAATATTTATGTATCCTAAGAGAATAGGGACAGAATTCTTTGTTTAACTTTGAGGAGGAATTTCCGAAACACAACCTAAGATGGATATGTAGCATTCAGGATTATTAAGGATCTAAAATTTATGAAGTGGTCATAGACTTTATAGACACCTACTTTGGATTAGGTATCTAACTCTTAGTGGGATAAATTTAGGAAGAGATTTCCCATGGTTATTAATCACTATCCACCTTTAAAAGATAATATAATTGAAATACTTTTACAAATATAAATATGAGCACAGAACAATATATTTAACTCCTTCCTCTCATCTTCCTTGCAACTGGTGTTCATTTGGGGAGACAAAAAAAAAAAATCGTATTGATGAAATATTTTTCAAATATAAAAGTAATAAATCTAAAAATTCAGAAAAATTCAGAAAAATTCAGAAAATTATAACATTGTTTTTCATATTTTTTCATTTTAGACATTTCTCAGTGACTTCCCTCAAAGTCTGTTTGCAGCAAAATTTGGAAAAAATGAAATGTAAATAAAAATCTTATGGTAGTTGCTGTTATTATTAGTGTCAAATATTAGGGCACGTTATTACATTTCATATGAAATGTACAGTTTAATGTGTTGTGATTGACAAGTATTAACTGCAGCATTGCTGCAGTCAGTGAAAAAATTAGTCATTCCAATAGAGATTTTGATGTTAATTTTCTATGAATTTACTTATGTTTGCAAAAGCTATCATCATATATGTAAATTAGTACATTTTATGCATTTAAATTATCATATATTATTTATTGAGACAGCTGTCAAGATTAACCCATTTAGAATGTCACCTTGAAGGTGCTGTTGGTTTGGGCTTGACATAGCTGTTGTGGCAGAAAGGAAAACATGCTAGGAGCTTCTAAGTAGTCTTTTTTTAGCTTTCATCTAATTATATCTTGTAGTTTTTAGTTGTATTTTGATGTCTGAGCAAAAAAAGAAAGACCAAGGAAAACCCATAAGTAGGATTTTCAGAAGTAAATAAAAATGGTAGGTAGTGTTTTTATTTTGAAGCATCTTTTTTGGCATACACTATTGAGCTTTGTTTTTTTTTTTTTTTTTTTTTTTTTTTTGTAGTAGGGTATTTTTAAATTTTGAAAATCAGCAAATCAATACAGTATCTCAATGGGTGGTACTGCATGCTAAGGTAAACAAAATACCAGGATGTTTGAATGTGTTGGGAACCTTCTTGGTCCTCAAGGTCTTCAAACAATTCTTACAGATGTATATATAGGCAATGAATTCAGAATTCAAACATCAGAAACCTAAAATTGTACATCTTCCAAAACTGCCACAAATTCAGTCTTTCTAAATAAATACTAACCCTGAAATCACATTTACTTCAACATTTTTATCCTCCAAGCTATTTAGTAATGCTCTCTAGAAGAAAATTTTTAGATTGTGTTAGCAGTGTCCCAGCCTAAAAAATTTTCTTCAGAATTGCTAGTCAAAAACTTTTCAAGTTAGTTTCTCCACATATGTCATAGGGAAGAAAGCTAAGGAAAATGCAAACAGCTTGAATACAATTATTTTAAATAACAATTAAGTTTGTGGAGAACAGTAAAAAAATAATGAAGAAAAATAAAATAAATGGAAAATATTTCTGAAGAATTTAAAACTTTTTGCACTTAGTGTAGATACACATCTGTACATATGTATTTTCATAGTAATTCTGACTGATATGTAGATGTTTACATTTAGTTTACACATGAAAGCAATTGTTTCAGGAAATGTTTTAAAATATGCCAATTTATATTGTCTGCGCTTTTTTATGTTTCTATGAGGTGATATAGGTATTGAAAACTGGAATTT